TGAGGAGGGGGGGAGGGCATCTTGAGGAGAGGTCAGGGATGCTGCTTAAATATCCTATAGCGCACAGAACAGCCAGCATGACAAACAGTGATCCAGCCCCAAATGTCAGTAATGCCAAGGTTGAGAAGTCCTCATACACACCCTCCCCATTACTTCCTGACTTTTCCATATCCCCTTAGCCTTTTGTAATTTAGGGGGACCCCTCCATTCTCTTCCATTTTGTGATTTCTCTGAGTTCCAAAGAAGAGCTTGGACTAGGGGACATGGGATCCTAAGAGAACTCAAGGACACCAGGAACCAATAGGGTGTGCTAGGAATGGTCATGCCAACCAAGTGCCTAGGTTCATTCCAGCTCTGTCCCTCCATGACTTTGGACTCCCTGGGGCTGGACATTAGGACTTCCTTTGGTCTATTTAGGGGCCCTTGGGAAGCCCCCTAACTGTCCTACAGGTTATTTCTCTGCACTTGCCCTCAGGACATAGAGAGACTTGGGAAGCTGGCTGGGCCTGAAAACCCCAGGGTCCCAGAGAGACTCTCCACTGTGAAAGTTCTACATTTCCTCTGAGTGCCCAGCACAGGGCCTGGGTGTGCGGTGCACACTGATAACTGAATCAAGAAAGGGATGCACTTACCAGGTTCTTGGTCATCATGTCAGCCCCGTGTAGGAGCAGCAGTTTGATGATTTTGTAGCGGTTGAGCCTCACGGCGTCATGCAGGGCACTGTCCCCTTCCTAGAGCCAGTGTGACACTCAGCAGAGCCCACATGGGCACATGGGAGCCCTCAGGCTGCCTGCACCCCCAAGGTGGGGCAGGGCAGGAGAGAACCCAGACACTCACTCTGTCTGTGGCATTGATGTCCAGGCCCAGGGACAGAAAGTACTCCACGATCTCCACGTGCCCAGTTCGAACTGCCACATGCAGTGGGGTGCTCAGCAGCTGAGTAGGGAGGAAGCAGAAATTGTTGGCTGAAGGGATCTGAACTGTGTGCCTTTGGGAAGGGGGCTGTCTTAACTCCAGTTAATCCTTCCTCCAAGTCCTAGTGCCAAGGCCTGAGCCCTGGAGGGGCAGGGAATGCTATAATTCTCACCATCCTATCCAATAGTCTATCTCTGAAACATTATATGCTACCTCCTCTGGGAAGCCTTCCATGATTCCCCTCTCACCCAGCTATGAGCAACTGCTCACTCCTCTGCCCTTCTTTTAATAATTATAATAGATGCCATTTATTGAGAGATGACTATGTGATGGGCATGGCAAAAGCTTATAAAACATTAGCCTTATTTTGAATAAATAATCAATTTACATACATTTTCCCATCTCATCTATACAACTCTGCAAGACATTTTACAGATGAGCAATAAAGGCTCAGAGGCTGTTACTTGCTCAAGGTCACATACAAGTAATAAATAAAAGATGGTGGATGAATAAATAAATGAATGGATGAATAAGTGAATGGAAAGATGAATGAATAGATGGATAGATGGATAGACAGTAGATAGAAAGATGTTGAAGGTTTGCATTGATGAGCAAATCCTGTATCTTTTGGATAAAAGCCCCCAAGATAGTGAATCTCTTCTCCCTGCCTCTCCTCTGTTCTTCCTGCTCCCATCCGCAGATGGTGGTTTCCAAGGGCCTGTAGTTGATGGAAACGATCCATCCCTGGGCTCTGCGGCCACTCCCGAAACCAGACTCGTCCACTACCTTCCTGCTTTCCCCACTGTTCTGCCCTCTGCCTCCCACTCCCCACCCACAGCCACCCCAATATCTGGGAACATTATTGCCTCACCTTATCCCTCATATTGGTGTCTGCTCCTCGGCTTTGCAGGAGTTTCACCACCTCCAAGTGGCCCCCGCGGCAGGCCCAATGCATGGCTGTGCAATCCAACTAGAAGGGAAGGATGGGACCTAATTGCAGAACTTCAGGGAAGAAAGTGCCCTGGGGGAAAGGACCTCAGCCAAAAGGGCACGGAGATATCCAGGAGAAAGGTACTGGGAAGAGATGGGGCACTCTAGTGCCTGGGCAGTGATCAAACCGAACATAGGAGTCCTTGGGGTCCATGTAGTCCAAGCCAGACTTACAGAGAGGAAATGAGGCCTGCCCAAGGTCATACAACCACTAGAGATGGGGCCTGGCCCCTGAGGCAGCCTGTCTGTGTCCCAGGTTGGCATACAGAGAGGGAGTCTAGACCCACCTCCTGCCTCCCAGCCAATACCTGCCCTC